AAATGAAAGCTAGCAAGACACAAAGACTAGTGAACTTGATTGTTCACCTGTTTACTTCTTTACTGAGGAACAGCAGGAAATGGTGACTACTTTTCCAGCTATTCAAACACAGGAGAACAGATAAAGAAAGACTTTCACCTCAGAATTCAGAAATCTTAAGCAACTTTTTCAGATGTTTTACCGTCCTGAAGATATCCGACCACGCAATTCAAACACAGGATTATTTATATGCACATTTTGTGTACATATATATATGGATATGAAAAAAAAAAAAAAAAGACAAAAATAAATGAAAGTTACATTCTGCTTTTTCCTTTCAGCCATGAGGATGTGTGTTTTGGTCACTCTCTCCTGGTACTGCTGCTGAAGTTGATCGTGCTCCTGTGACAACGTCCTCCAGCGCTCAACTGCTTGGTCTTTGTCCTAATTTACACAACAACATTCTATCATAGCACATTTGTCTTCATCCATCATTGTCTAGAAAGACAGGTAACTTCACTTCTATTTTGAATAAATGCCATTTACTTAGACATTTCTCTGCACAGATTTTTTTAATTTAAATCAAAGTGCAGAGAAAAGGATGCTTGGAAGTTCAAATTCCACTTCTAGTTTTTTGTCTTTTTTTTTTAAGAGCTCAAACTTTCACAGGTCTTTAAGGTAGGCCTACAATATAGATACTATTTAAATATCAAAATTCAGCTGTCAAATTCAACTTAATTGATATACTGTAATAAACTGAACAAAATGCACTTGTATTTTCAGATTTAGATACTATTTTGTATATCCCATACCTCCCTCCTCATATCACATTACAATAGCTATGATTAAAATGACAAGTTACTACAAAAAGCTTGAACTGAACAAAATATTTCATGGAGTTGCTGATCATGAAATCGACATACAAGTCAAGTAGATAAAATTACTGACACAAATTAATATTAAAAAAATATTTTATCAATCTAGGAAAGGAGTTTTATCAAGTCTTTAAGCTCAAAAGGAGCTCAAAACAGCCTCAAGGAACTCTGACTAAATGATTCCTGAATCAAGAAATAAAAGAGCCTCCCCTAATCTGCCAAAGCACAACAAGAGAAATAAAATAATATAAATGTTTAATCTCACACACTTGCTTTGCCAGCTGTAGCTGCTCTTCAAGGCTTCTCACTACTCCTTCATCTGCAGGAATATCAGTTTCCAGATGCACAAAAGGAAGAGCCTCCAGTTGCTTCTCAAGAGGCTCTTTCAACTCTGCATGCAGCCTGAAATTCAAAGAACTAAGTTCAGCAAGGTATTTCTTGAAAAGGAATTTTTTTAACGACTGAAATATACTATACCTTCCACCTGTAAATACTACTTCCTTCCAAGTCAAATTTAAATCTATTAAGTTATGTTCTATAATCGAAATGGACAGTTTGAAATAGCTTCACATCTAGTTCTTTTAGTGACATGGTAAAATCTCCTATACCTGGTGCTGTAAACTGTATTAAACATTTTAAGGCTCTTAACATTAAGATCCTAATTTACTTAGTAGAAGATTTCAAAGATTTTAAGATTCTAGAAAGAAAAGCTTTTTAATGTTTAGAAAACATGAGAAAGACTAATGGCAATATGGCAGTGCAATTATTTACCTTTCATTTTCCTTGGTGACTTCTTCCAGTTTCAGTGTCATCTCACCCATTTGTGCCTGACACAAAGACATGCAAGAGTAAGCACTCATTTAAGTCACACAAACTCTGGTAACACTGTCATCCTGTATTTCTGACTGACACTCTAAAAGTTGAACAATTTAATTCAGCTTACTAGAGTAAATCAAAGTCAATTGCTTTTTCAAGGCAAGTCACAGGATGCCACTTGAATTTAACAGCTGCCAAGTCCTGTTACACCTCAGCATTTGGAAGTTATTATGGACATTAAACTTAACCTTTTGAAATTCTTATGGCTCTTACAGATTGATTTTTAATTAACTCAAAGTTTTTAGGGCTAGAGTAGATAACTCATCTTTTATGCTGTAAGCACTTGATGAAAGTTTAGGAATTAACTGAGGAGAAACTCCAGTTATATGAATCAAACTGTCTGTTTTGTTTACTATTGTGAGAAAGCCATAATGCTTCTGTTTCAAGCAGTTGAAACTGATCAAGTTGCAAGATATTTACAAAATCTTTCTGATGGACAGATCAAACAAATGAAGTGCATTAAACCAAAACCGGTATCTAACTTCTGCATGAAGATCAGAAGCAAAAATTGCTTTCTGTATGCTCTAAGTTTTAATATCACTTATGTTTTCAGTCATGTTAGAAAGCATTAAAAGTTTAATTTAGTGTGGCTGCAAGGAGGACGGTTCCCTTTTACCTCAGCTCCCAGGATGACACTGTTGCAATCTGGACAATCTCCCAACCTTTTCACAGAAAGTTCTCCACTCATGCCCTGGAGGCAGCCTGCAGTCCAGCAGCTTTGTGAAACACGACACAAACGAGTGCCCTACATACTCACAGCACTGAATGGAGATGCAGCCTGAAAGGTTAGGAAAGCCCATACCTGGTAACGCTGCAGCTGTTGTTTCATTTCCTCCACACGGTTACCATACTCTGTGATTAGAGCTGACAAGCTAAAAAGTTGAAAAACATGCTCAGAATAAGTTCTGTAAATGCTGAAGTGCTCTAATAATAACTAGTTTAAATAATTCTTAATCTAGAGGCCAAAACAGTCACTTTTCTTCAGTTCTAAGCTCGACATCCCCCAGAATCAAATGAGCAAATTTAACCACTACTTTTCAATAATGATCATTAACAGCAAGGGTCCTATACAACAGAAATAGAACGGAAATAACTGACCATTAATACAATATTAATATTTGATCGATTCACACAGAATGCCAAATATTAAAAGACTAGACTTCGTTGCTGCTTTTACTTACAATAGTAAAGTGACCTCTAAGACAATGCAGAACACTGTAGTTCTACCTCTATACTTTTCCCCTCCTAATATTTTCATAAGTGATAGCAATTCTCTGAAAATTCTATATTAAAAGCTAACAAGAAATCTAGGTTATTTTTGTAAGAGGAAATTACAGTGATCATGAAATGATTAACTGATAGACAACTTTAGTTGAAGTGTATCAAAAAAACATTTTTAAAAACATCCCCCAATCTCAACAGACAGCAGTTACATATGTTACCTATAAGCACATGACAATTTCCTTCAAATACACTGCAGTATTCCCACTTATCACTTGGAATCAGTTACCTTTGGTCCATCATCCTGGATCCTGATGTGCCATCACCACCAAGGACATGTTCCTGCAATGGAACATTGGTAATTGCACATAAACTTATGTAGTTTTAAACTTTTATATGAAACTCAAAACTGCCTGTACTGTAATCTGTACACAATATGCCACAGAATCACTTCCAGGTTTATGTTCAAAATCCCTCGAGTGCTGGCCCAATATGAAAAAAAAGTTGTTTTTTTTCCTGGACCTGCTCTGATCTAAATCATAATTACATCTGAGGGAAAGTCAGCTCAATATTAAAATAACAATCATGGGTTTGTGTAAGAGCTTGGTTCATTTCCATGCATCTCAGCATCAGGAAAGTGCTGAAGCTTTTGCACAAGCTTTCAGACAGGTTTATCGTACCCAGCACAAAAAATTACCTCAATATGAGACCAATCTCTTAGGAAAGGAAAGTCTATAAAGGTGAAAAAGTGTACTAAATTACAAATCAAGTGCTCTTTCAGGGGTGAAACTTTTAGAAATGCACCAAAAATGCCATAATTCATTGTTAGGGCAGGTTTTTTTCTGCTGTTGCTGCTTTGTTTGATGGACCAAAACCAGGGCCAGACAACACTGAAGTGAGCCATGCTTCACTTTACTCATATTTGGAAAGTTATTTACCACAAAACATCATCACAAAAATTCTTACTACTTCCCACCCTGAGTTCACATACCTGCTCAGCAGTATTTCTCTGAACCTCTTCAGTTTCATAGTGCCCAAGTGCCATTTTTAGCCTCTGATCTGAAAAACATCACATTTATAACCATGGCTATAACACAGGCCTCTAGCTACATAAACAGCAGTCAGAAATATATTTAACAATATAATGCTCTGAGGGCAAGAAAACAAAAAGCTTCTAAAATTCTTCTATTTAGCACAACTGTTTAAAAAAACCCAGGACTTGAAAAAACCTACAGGAACTGTAATAGTAATAATAATAATAATGAATTTCATTTATTTCATATTCTGTTTTCTTTAAGAGATACTTCTATTTTGTAAGAATTTGAGTAACAGTTTTGTAACTGAATGAGTAACAAAGAAGAAAAAAAAAGTTGGGAATGCAATGGCTGTATTTTGATTTAAACAACTTCTCGCCTATTTTTTTGACGCATATCCCACGGTTCTTTTTCTAGGTCTAAACTTCTAAAGGAGGATACAGGAAAAAGACAGCGGGGATAGGAGGTAACGCAAAGGAATGCCAGGAAACAGGAAGGGGGAAGTTGCAACTAAAGACGCATTCATACAAAAACGCGTGGTTTTAGCCATTAGGAGCCTTTAGTTAATGGTGTTCAGCTAACCAAAAGTATGTTCCTCGCTGCAGTGAACAATGGAAAGCTACGGAACATAAACCCTCACTGCCAACACTCACCTGGCCGTGCGGCGTTCCCAGCTTTCCGCAGGCAAACTCCACGGAGCCGCGGGGGGAAAGGCGCTGGTGGAAGGGAGGGAAGGGAAGGGAGGGAAGCGAGCCCCGCGCCGGGGGAGAGGCGGCGGCGGCGGCGGCAGGGGCGGGACGCGCTCCGCTCACCGCCGGTGCGGCGGGGCGGGGGCAGCGGTGCCCGGAGCCGGCACTGCCGCTCGGGAAGGAAGAAGGGCACAGTCCCGGTGCCAGTGAAGCCACGGGCGCCTCCAAACCCCGCTCAGAATCGCCGAGGGCCCGGCCGTGCCGCCCTCCCTCTGAGCCGGGCCCGGCCCGGCCGGCAGCGCCGCCCCCGTCACGTGGGGAGCGGACATGGCGCGGCGCTGAGGCGGGGGTGAGGAATATGCGGCGTTAAACTTTCTGTGAGGGGATTAGGGGTTAAAGATGGGCCCTGAGGAACTTTCTTGAGGGGGGAAAAAAATAAAAAAATATCAGTTTGTGGCCGGAGTAGCAGAGCGGGGAAGCGGGAGCCGCTGCCCGTCGGAGGCTGCAGCCAGGCGGGGACCAGCGACAGCGGGGGAGGACACAGCCTGAGTTTGTATCTGGGGAGGGTCAGGTTGGACTTTAGGAATAATTCCTTTGTAGAAAGGGTGATTAGACTTTGGCACGAGCTGCCCAGGGAGTTGGTGGAGTCGCCGTCCCTGTTTAAGGAAAGGCTGATTTGCAATGACTGCAAATGAAAGCTCGAGCCAGTTGCTTCATTTTCTTGAGTCTCAAGCGTTCAAGGTTTCCCCTCAGTCTGTTTTTCTGGTGTTACCAAATCCTTCACATTCATGTAGTCGAGACTGTTTTGTGTATCTGTTCTCTTGATAAATACTTCTGGTGGTTTTGGAAGGCATTTATTTAGATGTATGTTTGAAAAGCCTTAAGCTTAATAAGACTTCAGAGTCATTTGTAACCCTGCAGGTATAAACACTATGAGAAACATCATTTCTGTAACTGTTCATTTAGTTTTTTTTCAAAGCTAATTTGCTTCAGTTCGGATGTCTAAAACCATGATTTGATAATTGACTTTATACCAAAGCCTGTGTGTGTGAGGTTTTTTTCCTGGGCAACCACACCGCACTTCGTACGGAGATGGAATCAGATTTTTGACAGACCTTTCCTTTGTCATCTGTGTAGTACCTGAAGATGGAATTTAGAATTAAACACACGTGGGATGGTTTGCCCGTGAGCCATGAGCCGGTGACCATTGGGCTGAGGCCGGATAATGCAGGACTGCTGATGGAAGTTCACGCTCCTTTCTTTAATGACCCTCCAGCACCACCCGGACAGCCAGGGAAACCTTTTGGTGGACTGTGGGACTATGAGGGTAAGTGCAAATCTTCTGCAAATAGATCTGATTTCTATAGACGCTGATGTTCCTCTCTATTTGATACATTTGGTCTTTTATTTTTTTTTAAGAGTCTGTGATGGCTGTTTTTTTCTAAAAAAAATAACCCTGCAAAACTGGAGTTCAGTGATCTGGGTTAATTTCAATAATTTTTGACTTCTTGATCCTGTAAATCCTGATCCTATCAAACTTAGTTTTTGGGTTACTCATATAACTTGTGAACTATCAAAGGCTTGACATTTTTGAATAGCAAAATAATTTTGTGACATATATGTATTTAAATGCCCTTGCAGAAGGAGAAGTGAAATCCTAAAGATAGCTTCTGATTTGCTTTATGAAGTGTTTTAATCATTTTTCCAAAAACTCCTTTGAGGAATAGGAAGGTGTAAAACACAGAAATTACACTTCATGAGATGCAGTTCAAAACTGTGCCCAAATAGAAAAGGAAAATTCTCACAGTGGTGCTGGGTATTTTTTCCTTTCCTGTCCATATTGTAATTTTTACCCATTACTTTGAGTAATGCAAGAATTCAATATTTCCAGCAGTTCTTTACTTCCTGATTATTGAGCTATTCTGATTCAAGCTCTACTGAAATGATATTTAGCACCTCTTTGGTGTAATTATAATAAATATGCTTAAGTAAAAATAAATAAAAATATCAGTCATATCATAATTCTAACTTAAGTTTTGTAATAATTTCATTGCTGTGAGAAGCACTGTTGTAATTTTACATGAGAAACACCAGTGTAGTTCTACTTTGTGTTCTGGAAATGTGATTCAAATGTAACATGTGGCTTTCAAGTACACCTGGAACAGTAATCTGTCCAAAATATCCATCTGCAGGGAAAAGCCATTTAAGAGCTAAATGCTTTCTATTATTTCAGAGATTTAACAGATTTTTTTTTAGTTGTGGAGTGTGTGCCCTGCTCTGAATGTATGATCCTCTTTCCCTTATTTTCATGCTGCATTGAGGCGAGCATTTTCAAAACTGGAATTGGTAATGAAGTTAGTACAGTACTTCATAAAGCTCTTTGTGGTCATAGCAGTTAAAAACAAGAACTCCTGAAGTTGGAACTGTGGCACAACATTTTGAATATTTGGGTTATAGTTACTGTGTACATGTCAGTAGTGAGCCAGGCTCTGGCATGGCATAGGCCAAAACCCATGAAAATTGAGTTGTAGTAATGGAATATGAAGATTTCAGGATCGATATGTATAAATATGTGTATTTATTTCTGTAAACACTTTATAATTTATATTACAATAAATTATAATTTATATTTATAGTATAAAGTTAACATAAAATACTGACAGCTTGTTTTTATATTGATTTTTTGTTTTTTCTGTTTATTTTTGTTTTGTCTGTTTTTTTCAGTTGTAGAAGCGTTCTTTCTGAGTGACAGAAATGAGCAGTACTTAGAAGTTGAGCTTTGTCCGTAAGTACAGCACTGAAAAAGTCCTAAAAAGTTAATTTACACTTGCAGTTCTAATGCCTGTGAGATACATGTATGAGGGAGGCTAGACACAGGAATTGTGTCAGTATGGGGAATGTGCATATTTGTGGCAGTATAATGCACTAATAACTTGACATAATTTTAGGAAAACTGTGCTCTGATTCTTTGACAGCCATGGGCAGTACTTACTGCTGCTGCTTTCTGGCAGAAGAAAAGCATGGAAAGTAAGTGGTCAAGTACATTCATAATGATTTTTATTTACCTGTTTTTTGATCAGAAGATAGCCAATACCTCTTTTTTTTTTTTTTTTTTTCCTCCTTTAACAGCAAAAACTTCCTTTGGAGTTTGAGGTGACCAGAATGAAAACCAATTGGGAGGGTAAAGCTCTTCTACCTTGGAGTTATTTTCCACCGTGCACTGACAAGTTCAATGCATTTGCAATTCATGGCTCTGGAGAAGAGAGGAAATATGAAGCACTTTATCCTGTGCCTCCACATGAGCTGCAGGAAGGACAGGAACCAGATTTGTAAGCATAAAATGAGCTCTTCTGTAAGATGGCTGCACTATTGTTGGAATACTTAAAGAGAATCTGTTTTTTTGTTGAGTGCCACTAGTATTTTTAGTACAGTACTTAGCTCTGGGTCCACTTGTGCTGTACTTTGTATAAAGCACTGTGGCACTGCAATTAGTGCTTTGTTTCCATGTTAGGTGCATAAAAAATTATGCTTTCAGTACCATTGATACCTGCTTTTATCACCTTCCTCATCTAAATCATGGATAGGTTGCTCTACTTTTCTTTCTTGACTTCAGCTCCTCCTTAAGTGCCATTTAGTGATAATTTCACCAGATACATTTCCAGTAAATCTCTTCTGCTCCTCCCTTACTGTTCTAAAAACTTTCACCTCTACAGATGGTTCCATGTGATAGAAAGAAAAGTGAAAAGGCAGGCTAAACTAAAAAAAAATAAAATTAAAGGATACTAATAGAAAGGTATCAATAGAAAAAACAGAGAATTTGGATTTTTAAATTGTGCTTTGGGCCTGTTAATTTTCTTTGGCCATGAGGCTGAGATAATCTGATAAAACCTATTACTCCTGGGCATTTAGTATACGTGAACCAGCTCTAGAGGACACCTTAGTGTGGGAGGAGGGATTATATGAGAACAGAGCTGGTGCTGGAGGCAATCTCAGCCCTGATAAATTGCAGTTGTGCTGATGACCAAGGAGTGGGAACAGCCTTGCCCCTTAACAGGGCACAGCCGTGTGCAGTGAGGATGGGCTTATAAAAGAGTGGGAGAGCTGGGCCAGGGTCAGCTGGAGTTTGCTGGCCATGAAGGAGTTTGGTAGTCCTGGAGGAGGAAGAGCGAAAGGAGTAGAGAAGGTCAGTGTTGTATGGAGCTGCCTGTGGGAAATTCACAGAGAGAAAAGTATGAGAGATTTTTAAAGTTAAAGAGTTTCACCTGTCAGTTGTGAGTCCACTGTTGCTTAGTGCCCTATGTGAGGAGTGGCTGCCAATACTACAGTTCTTATGAAATGGGTCACACAACATACAGTGATGGTGAGGTAGGGTAAATTTTAGGTAAGTTACCCTTTATTATCTTTATTTAAGAAAAGTTTAGTTTCTGCAACTGTATATTAAAAAAAAATTCTGAGTTATTGCTAATAAAATATATTATCAGTGTTCTGTGACAAATGGATATTTTTATTTCTCTGTATTCAACTGGAGAATGGCTGTAGTACTGTTCAAGAAAGAATTCTTTTTATAGTACCCCGTTAAAAAAAAACCAAACCCTTGTCTTTTTCAAATGTTGGTAACAGATGAAATTTTGTGAAGAGACTGTTCCTTGCTGCTTTTGTTACTTTCAGTTTGTCTCTGCTCTTACGGATTGCTACAAAATTAGGACTTTGTTTATTTCTCTTTTGTTTGCAGTCATCGTTTGGAATTTTTCCAAGATTTGAACCTGAAAGAACTAACAGGAGAAGACTGGGAGCAGCCTGAATCAGATATATGGAAATCTCTCACTAAGTGAATGGGTTGCGACATAAATTTTTATCATGTTGAAGTTGGCTGAAGCTGTATGGAAACAACTTCCTCATTCAGAGCAGAGTTTGTTTGTATATGACAGATTAGCAAAAAACTGAAATCCTGGGTCAGTCTGAAAATCAACTGCAAAGCATGTGGATCTGCTGATTCTAAATGTGTGAATGGCTTGTATTTCAATCCATCAGGGTATGGAGTTTTTCATTTGTGGAAGAGACAAATCTGCTGGTGCCGGTGAAGGAGGAGAAATGTGCTAAAATTGCAGCTGTGTTTTTGTGAGCGCTCTGAAGTCTGACAAGGCCAACACCCGGATTGAAATTTTTTTGTTTCTAATAGTTGCTGCATTTCTGCTGTATTTTCACTGCTGCTTGTTTGCTTGTTGACTGCTGAATGAGATTTTTTGCTTACAATCAGGAGGAGGAATGCCTCGTTGAGGAACAGAGAAGAATGTAGCTCTCCTGGCTTTTGGAGGCTCAGTACCTGCCTTGCAGGAGGTGTAACACTGCCCTTTCTTGTCTGTTCCTGTGCCTCAAGATTTCCCTTGCTTAATGCTGAAGGGGGAACTTACTCTGTCTCACAGACCTCTGTGTGGAGTTTCTAGTGGCGTTTAGATGCAGAGGATAGATTTACAAAAGGGTTTATATATTTCGGGTGAAGCTTCTGGGACAAATCACACTTAGTAAAATCGTTTGGTGATAGTTGTGTGCGTGCAAAAGCTGGTTTTTTTTTTTTAAGACTTGTCACATCGCTTTAAGAATTCATTTCAGGTGTCTGAGAATGTTTTTTTTTTTTGCATGCCACTGAGGGCTGGAGATACTCTAGGTGTATATTTTCTATGTATGGGCATGAATGATTATAGTAATAGTGAGTATTAGGTGGCAACATCTAATCTTTAAGCCCTCACAAGATTTGCAAGTTATATGTTCCTTTTTTTTTTGTCTAGCAAAGCAGTTGCTGCTTGATTGTGGCTGCTGATTTAATCTTATATGAATTAGCTTAAAAAATGTGAAGCTTGCCCACTAACCAGATCCTTGCTAGTATGCAGTAATAAACACATTCTGGTGGTCCTATTTTCTCTGCTGTCTTTTAGCTGAAGTCTAGCTGTAAGTTCTGTCTGAGAAGTAAAGGAGGTGGGAATATCCCACCTTCTTGAAGAACATCTCAATCTGCTTCATATCTGGGACAGAATGTTAGTTCACAGTTTTTGTTTAGCTTTAGATTCCCTCTTTGTACTTCCAGTTTTATAGAGCTGTGCTTTCAAATTTGAAGATATTAGGCTTTTTTTGTGGCAGACTTTGGCATGTCAGTGCACTCAGCCATCCAATTGCTTTTGCTGTGTTTCAATTAGACAATATAGGTTACTTGCTGTAAAGTGCCATCTGTTGAAAATTGTAAGTATTTTACAGTCGGTTGTTTGGCTTTTCTACCTTCATGTACAGTTTTCTAAAGAATGGTATCAGTCTGAAATACTGAATAATTCAATAAATGTTGATTAAAGTATCATCTAGACTTGGGTATCATGAAGCTGCTTGGAAAATTTTAGTCAAAACCAAAATGACATTTCACAAAACTTTCAGACTTTATTTTAAAAAGTTTGTCCAAAAAGTGTGTGTAATGAATCAAAATGGGTCTGCTGCTTTTCTCACAAAGGTTATTTTCATATGAGGAATGGAAACATTTTAATTTCATAATAATAAAGTGTTTTATTCATCTCATGTTTATTACTACTTCAAACTTACTGTTTCAGATTTGACTTTGGATATAAATGATGAACTTGGAGGAAAATAGATTACTTTCTCTAAATAAGTAATTTAAAGTAAAACCATTGTCTTTGCAGTACAAAAAGCAATGCTAGATGCTCCAGAAAATGGGCATTCTCACATAGACCTTTTTCAAGGCCTGTGCACTCCATGCTGGCATTATTTGGTTCACTTGGGTGTTTCTGAGCTTTAAGTGTATCTGAATTGTGAGTACTGGGGGCCAGTTGTAGCCTGTCCTTCCTGAACTGTCTCCGTTTTTTGATGACAGGAGGAAAGTGACAATATCAGCTCTGTTCTGTGTGATGGTGTGTTCATTACCTGTGACCTTAAACGTGAGGACCAGAATTGTACACGGCTCAATCCTCCTTGTGGTGTCTGTGAATCTCTTCAGAGTTGGTGTTTGAAAGCATCAAACATGTTTGCACTCCCAAAGACCTTGTTCTTTATGCTTCTTGCCACTAGGTGGGAGAAGAAGGTTGTCTAAACTGTGCCTTGGTGCTGCCAACTTAGTTTTCCTTAACCAGATCCATTCCTTCTTGCTGTATCCTTGATTTTAAAAAAAGGATATATATTTCAGTCAAGCTGATGGTGGCTTGTTTTGGTTTATTTGAGACATCTTGTCATGTTGTGTAGTTACAGTTCTAATGTTTGCTTTTCTGCAGGGCTATTTTCAAAAATAATTTTTGGGACAAAATCTCAGAAGATAAATTCCGCAAGGTGTCAGTCAATCTGTAGTGTAAAAGTAGTTTTGTGGTGTTCAAATGATTCAAATGTTACTCTGGATTTTATTTTTTGCAAATGTCTTGGACAGTCTCTAGCAAGCTTTCCAAAGAAACTGTTTTGAATTCTGAAGAAATTTCTGTCTTTGAATACAGCTTGATTTGTGAGAGGTGGTACACCCCTTCAAGGGTGAAGCTTCAGTAGTTTGAACAACCTGCAGTGAAGTTGGGTGAAACAATGTGAAAACTGTGGCTTAAGAGGGGCAAAAAATTCTTTCTTTGATACAAAAATGAAAGAAAAAAGTTTATGCAAAGAGAATTTGAATGGTAATGTGTGCTACTGATAGAAGTGATTTATACCTTAAATACAAAGCTGGAGCAACAACTGTCAGGTAACATCTACTATTTTGTGTAATGATCCCACACGGTGAGGGGTTTTTTTTGGATGTAAAAGCTCTTAGCAGGAGTAAAATTTTGTTTGTGTCTTTGTATACTTTTAAAATATTTTTTTCTGCTATGTCAGGACAGATATTAGAGCTAGGAAGCTCAAATTTCACTCAGGGCTATATACATTTTGACTGCTATGGCTGATACAGCTACTGCATTATCTGTTGTAGTTATTAGATACACGAGTGAGTTACTACTTGTCCTGCCCAACACCATGAGAAGCTACTGCTGGATGTGATGTTAAGTGCTGTGTTGCTTGCAATTCCTTTTTTTCCAGGTTGTTTTATGCCTCTGAAAGGCACAGCACAGAATGTTTTGTTGTATTTTAAATTCTGACCATGTAAAAATCCTTTCAAAATATTAATGGCACAGTGTGTAATTTGCTGCACATAAAATTGAAAAGTATTCTTTCCTGGTACCAGGGTAATCTCTAAAGTAGAATTAATTGCATTTAATTATGGTACATTTAGAATAATACTGCTGAAATTTGATTGTTAACCTGCATTTATTTAGTTGGTGATTCCTTTGGTTTTGCATTTGGCGAGTGCTTTAATTTGCTGCAGTGTCTCTGAGCAGTGCTTCAGCAAAAGTACAGGGAAGTGCTTTAAGCCTGATTTATTTTCACAGGTTGTATAAACAGCTGTGCACGTGCTCATACAAAGCCTCAGTGAGATCAATCCAACACTCATCATGAACTGTGTTGTAGTTATGCCTTTTCCCATCTACTTGTCTGTCTGCTGAAATTAGTATTGTCAGGAGAATTCAGTTCTATCCAAGCTTGGTGCTGCTTGTTTTCATTATTCTGTTTCTAAACAAGTAAAAGCCTTGGCTGCAGGGGGTCTGTGGGAGGGTTTCTACTGTTTGTATCTTCACTGGCTTTGAACATATCAAAATATGTGCCTGTTTCTTTTTCAGGAATTACACTGTAGACTATCATGAACTATGTGTGTGAATACTCTCTGCCAGTTTTGTAGTGTATTTGCAAATACAAATGTATTTTTAAATGTGATAAAGCAGAACTGAAAATAGTGTTAAAATAGCTGAAGAAAACGTTACTGAAGTAAAATTAAATTACTGTGTCCTCACTACTGTTTTAAAACCAGCCCAGCTGGACTAGCCCAGTGGCTTTCTTGGAATATGGAGCAGATTCTTGGGGGGGGGGGAGGAGTTTTAAGATGTTACCCTATTTAAAATACAGAAATCCCCTCTGTAGAGCACATTTGTTGCCAATTTAATCTTGTCTTGAGTTAGCTCTCTTGAACTCAGTCTCTGCAGGCAATGAAATTTATATCTTGGTGCCAGTAGAAGCTGTCATAAAATTATTCATCTCTAATTCTAGGCAAAGTAATTGGTTCACTTCTTACTGCTGAGTTTGCTTCCTTCAGCAAATGAAACAGTTTGGAAACTGGTACTTTCTCAGTGTTTTACAGCTTATACAAGCCATGGCATTTATATTTAATCGTGTCAGGCACTTTAAAGAACTGGTTCTTGTTTTAAAATTGATATTACTTTGGTAAATGTTAACAGTGTGGGCTGTAACCTCTTATGCCAAGTATCTGCTTTAAATCTTTTTAATTTTGGCAAAATATTTAGTGGTTTCAGAGGAAGGGTAGTTCATGATGTCAGAAGAAGAAAATGTGGTACCTCCTTAAATTGTTATGACTTCAAGAATGAAATGTTGAGACTTGGTGAGAGGTCCATATTGTCAGGAGTCTTTTGTAATTTCGGTGAAACAGCTTTTTAGAAGCTTCAGAAGAGCTCAGCTGGAGAGGTGAATTCTCTGCAGCTTCTGCTGAGAGTGGGAATCCACCCCTGGCAGGTGGAATTGCCAGGGTTTGACTTGTTCAGTGGGAAGTGTTCTTTGTGCCTGGCAGGGACAGGTGATGTGCTGGGGAATGCCCTTTGATAGTGAGCACCTGCTGCTAAGGCTGTGGCTGTCTTCAGCCATGCTCAGAGCACAGGAAGGTGATGTTTCCCTTAGCACTGTGCTGCCATTGTGTGCTTGAGAAGGTTCTGTGGGCTCAGTGGGAGGCTCACTGGAAAAGGTACATGGAAGAAAGATGAAGTGATGGGTTTCAAGTATATAAAATCAGATTAAAGAAATCCTCTCAGCAGAAAATAATGAGTTTGGGAGTGTGATAGAGCAAGCATATGCTCTCTTACTCTTTTTTTAGGTATCTGCCTATGTAAAAAGGTCACTCTGCTGGATGGATTGTTAGCTGGAAGTACTGCTGCTATTCTTGTAGTTGGAAATTCAGCTGAAGGAATTTTTCTGTAATTCCCTGCTGATGTTCTCAAAAATCTCTTGCTGAGCAAAGGTAGTGAGAAGTAGAAGAAAGCTGCCAGAATTCAGGAAAATGGGAAACTCATACTTTACTGTTGTGGGCTAAGTGCAAACTATAAATGAAGAGGGAATGGGAAATCTCCACAAGTCTTGCTGGTAACAGATTCATTTTCTTCATGCTGCTCTAAGGTGAAGTAAGAGTACAGCATAAATAATAGAATTGTTAAGGTTGGAAAAGACCTCTAAGGTTGAGTCCAGCTGTTAACCTCACACTGCTGTGTTCATTGCTAACCCATGTCCCCAGGTGCCACATTCACACATTTTTCAAACACTTCTAGGGATGATGGTGGTTCCACCACTTTTTTGGACAGCCTGTTTCAGTCTCTTGAGCTGGGCAGACAGTTCTGGTTCCTGTCTGATCACCCTTTCAGTGAAGTTCGCATGATGTGTTGTTCAATGGAGTGTAGGATTGTACAGGCATAGGCTAGAAACTAAATACAGAATGTGTAATGCTGCAGAGTACTCGATCCCCTCTGAACTCCTGAGTAGTTGATTCAGCAGTGCCTTTCTATGCTCCTTTATGTTCTTGGGTGGATCCCTTCAATCACATCTGCAGGCTCTTTTGTCCTGAACACAACAGGTGAAGTGCTACCACCCTGTATATCACAAATCACTGTTCAAACGAACATCAATCATATTTCCTTATGTTCTTAAATAGGTCTGACTATCTTATTTGTGTTTTTAAAT